AATTTCTTGAGAATGCTGCTCCTTTGATAGACTACTTTAGATGGGTTCACTGTTTGACTAAGTTGGCATAAAAAGCAGTTGCTAAATCTTATGTTATTCTGTAAGTTTGAAGTTTATTGACTGCTAAAAAGGTCTTCTGATACCCTTTTTATATCTCTTTAAAAATGGTTTCAGCTGAAATATTTCTTCCTGTAATATGCAGCTGAAATATGCTTCATAAGTGTTATAACCTAGATTTTTCTCAGAAATATTTATAGAATTATTTTACAGTAGCAATATATTTAAGTGTAATCACCGGGCATATGCAATACAAGAAAAGTCATGAAGACACAGAGATAAAACCCATTCTCAGTGTGATAAAATAAACACCACAGATATTTCCACATTTCAGCTGAAGTTTGTACCAAATAGTTAAAATTTGGAACCTAAGAATTCAGATCAGAATGTCACCTTACATCTTGTGCTGATATTAATTTACGTACGTTAAGTCTGAAGAAAGAATTGTTCTCAAGAAGGACAAGCAAAGCCAATATGCAAAAAAGCATAGTGCTACCTGGAGGAAGGAAAAAAAATTGTACTCCACAAATGAATGTAAGGGCCCAGAGACCTCCCAATATTGTGTACCTGTCAACAGAGTGGCAGAACAACAAATGAGACTTGGAAGCTCACATACACTGTTATACTAGCACAGCATCTCATTTAGGGGTTTACGGTGTCATCAGAACTGACTGTTTTTAGCATGGACCTGAGTGGCAAATGCCAAGCTCTATTCCTCTATACAACTATACATCATAGAGTGGTTTGCATTAAACCTTAAAGAGCATCCAGTTCTAAACCCCTGCCACGGGCAGGAATACCTGTCACGATAACTCTCATTTTGCCTGGAAAAATGATGTAAAATACTATATGCAATGACAAGCCAGAACATGCTGATATGCGGATTTGCACTTGTGCAAATTTCTGATTTGCTCAAATGCAGGCTGCAGATATTTGTTTTCACAATAAGGCAGTTGAAATGGCAGCCAAACCTCTAATTCCTCATTCTAAGTGTGGTTTCCTCCTGGAGCTGTATCAGTTGCTCTGTCTCAAAAGACAGAATAGCAATGTCCTTTCCTGTATCTATCAACAATAAAATGAACTACTTAACCTGAAAAAAGTATGTGGAATTTGGCCAGGATCAAAGCAGACTCCAGGCTATGAGATGTGAAATAGAGCATGGTTAAGTTATTCAGGAGACGGGTTATGCCCCTGCAACGTTTGCTTGCATCAGAACTTCAGCAGAATTCCTCTGGCCTGGTTTTAGAGACCTCAGGAAGCAGGGCTCTCTGCAGAGTCAAAGAAGAGAGAGTAAGGCTCATGGGCACAGCATCCCTCCCTGACACGCATGCATTCTGCCTGGTCTGTCGTAGTCTGAGGCATCAGCTGTCACATGCCAGTACCTCCTGTGCATGCTGCGCTTTAGAGACTGCCAGTCAGGATAGCTGACCTTTTAAATGTTGATATGCCAACACATTCAGAACCAAGTATCCCTCCAGAAATCTCAGAAATTTGACTAATTTTCATAAGCAGTACATACAGTTGGGAACCATGTCTGTGAACTCCTACAGGGCATAACCTTCTCAGAGACAAATCCAGGTCAACTGGATATGGCCAATCTAAAAGTCACATTAGCCTAATAAATAGGATCTCTCAGCCAGGCTATCCCATGGAGAACAGAACTTGAGAAATCATTCACCTGAACACTGTCATAGGCTTCCTGTTACCTTCAGCATTTACAGCTTCACACGCCCCCAAATAGCACTGAAAGATAGTACAGGCATTATGTTCCTTACAGGCCACAAGCTGGAGATCCTATTCTGAAAGATTCTGCATTTTCAAGAGAAGGTTTGCTTGGATTGAGAGTTTAATAATGGGCATTTATTCATCAATATACTATCACCAACAAAAGCCCCGAATGACGCTTAGTGATGTCACAATTTTTTTCACATTTTATTCTCCTTCACCTCCCAGTAAAGAGCAATCAGCCATGGTAATTACCTCTCCAGGGAAGTGGCGAATTCCCCAACACTGCACACTTTAAAGATTTGGCTGGAAAGGGTGCTGGGACATCTAGTCTAGGCCATGTTTTGCTTAGAAAGCCTGGACCAGTTGATTGTTGAGGTCCCTTCCAACCTGGTATTCAACGATTCCATGATATCCTGTTACCATACTGCAACCCAGAAGGAGAACTAATAAAGCAGATCACTGGAGTGGGAAATGTTTTTTCTAGATGCAGGCGTGCTCTCCTAACCTGTATCCCAAAATTAAAGAGACAAGGAAAGAAGATGGACATTGCATGCTAAGCAGCTTCACAGGTAATGCACGTAGCGCTTGCTGTCATTTTTTGCAGGGATCGACTCATCTGTGCGGATTACTCCACACATAGATGGGAAGCAGCACCACTTGCCCTGTTCAGAAAGAGGTCAATTCCATTGCCAGCAATGCACTGGGCAGGCTGCTCAAAAGCTAAGGGTGCTAAACACCTAGTAAGGTCGCTAGTCGAAGGAAACAATTCTGTTTCCTTCACAAAAAGATTTCAGAGAACAATATAAATAAATAAAATTAAATTGCAAATAAATTCTAAGCAGAGTCTTAGAGACTAAGCTTCAGGCTATCATATGTTGCCCTGAGTTAGCAGGCTGGGTAAGAGAAAATAATCCAGAACAGGAGCAGCAAAGTTGAATATGCTAACTTCTCAGCCTACTGCCACTCTTTAGAGCATGGCTGGGGTCAAATCAAGAGCTGACAGGCTTGTCTACTGCATCAACAAGATGCTTGTTGACAAGCTGATTTTTTGCTATTCATGATGCAAACTGGCATGCTCATATAAAAGTAATTATGCCTAAGTATTACAGCAGATTGTATTAATTTTGCTGAGACAAGGTGTAAAGCATTTACAATGCTTTATTATAGCACTGAATAGTCACTTCTTTTCCCAATGACATTTGTAAATATCTATTCTAACTTTCAGTAGTCTTAAATAACAGCTAACTGTAGACCTTGATGGGACCAAAATATGCTTAATAAAGCATGCAATTACAACCAATTGTAGCAACAAATTGTAGCATTTAGGAAATTTATAAATGAAATTCAGCACTTCCCCAACTAATTATGTTTACTTCACCAGCAATAATGCAAGTTGTACAGCTTATCCCAGTGCCACATGCAGATGGCAATCACGGATGCCAGCTCTGATACAGAGATGCATTGAGAGGCATGTTACAATGTCAAAACCACTTTTCATATTTACTGTTAGCTAGAATTTTCCTGCAACTCCTATTACTACCAAAAAAAACCTACTGAAAGTTATTGGTGACTTGAAGTTTTGAAGCGACTACAGGCATAGCTTGGGTTTGTTAGTTTTGCATTTTTAAAAATAAACCTTTAGTTTTAGAAAAGGCACTGGTGTCTGAATTTGGAGTATCTTTCTGTCATCTTTTATGTTTTCATAAATACCAGGATTGTCTCTTTTTCATCTCTCGTTCCACTCTCTCCACGCGCAAATCTGAAAATTTTTGCTCCACAGACCAGACATTTTCTAGAACAAACCCTGAATTCTCTTCCTTACTTGGTAAGGAGAATCCAAGCACAACTGAAGCCATCCTTCCCTCCTTCAGAAATTAAGTTATCAAAGGCTGGAAGCACCCAGCAGCCATAAAGATGTGCTTGCCATATACATTACCACAAACAGCACTGCTCTCAGTGAGCGTGCAGCTGTACTACCAAAGCTGAGCTTTGCATCAGTACACTGAAACAAGAAATCAGTACAAGCAGACAGAAATACAGGTAAAAGTGCCTTTCAAAAAGGCAGCTGTACTGTCACGCCATTTTATCCACCTACCTGACAGAGCTGTTAAAGCAGAAGACTGCACTGCAGGCTTGGCCAGGAGGAAAGTTCTTTTAAAGTAGCAGAAATAGAAAATAAATATTCACAGATTTTTTCTAGCTTTGAGGGGAGTTAGAAACTTAACCAGTGTCTGTACTGTTGAAAAATCTATCTAAGTCAGAAAATTATATTCTGGTTTTCTTCACAGTAATTACAGAAGTACCTTGAATGCTGCCTTGCTCCCAATCTATTAACAAGCTTTTATTTGTGTGATCATATAGTTCACTCGCCATACTTGTGGCCAAATCCCAGCCACTCCTACACTCTGTAACTGCTTTGTACAAAGCTGCAGTTTCAAGAGTTTAAAAATAAAGTTTCTTTATAAAGAATAACACAACCAGAACAATCGTGAGGCTCTGTACTTGCAGCTCTTGATTTGTAGATTGTTCACCAAGTGAAACTCAACAAACAAAAGTGTGAAAGTAAAAAATACTGAACTTCTGCTGTGCTGTGCTTACCCTGAGCAACCAATACAACTGTGTATATTAAATAATACATCAGTAATCTCAGAAGGCTGTTCTTAAAAACCTTAAATGTATTTGACTGAGATTTCCAGGAACACTAACTTAATGTCCTCAGCCTAGTCATTAAAATATAAGGACTCCCATAACAGAATGAAAACGCCCCAATATTTGTCATAGTTGAAAACTACTTTAATAAATTCACAGACTGAACAAGAACAGAAAATGAAATGTGATCTGTAAAACTGACACTCCCTTTAGGGCAGCATTAGGGATGCTGGCCAGACAGCTAACACCCAGTTTGCATTTGGACATTGACTCTTCTTATACCATCAAGACATTTCAGTTTGAAGTGAGATTTCAAACACAGATAAAAGGTAGGAAGCAAAATGGGAACAAGAAGTACTCCAGCCATTAATATCATTTTCACAGTGTTCATCAAACGTGCTGCAGCAGGAAAACCTACATCAAGATATGCTGAATAATGGGAGAGCAAACTGATGCCTATAACAATGTTCTCCGCCATGTAGGATGGAAAACAGATCACATTAAGAAAACCAGATCACAACTGTCCAGGGAGCATACTATAAAAGTAGTAATCTAAACAATCTTACCCTCCTTCCGGTCAACAGGTTTTGCCTGCTCTTCTATATCAAAGCTCTCCTGCAGTTGCTGGCCTTTGAAGCAGTTGAGATGCTCCTGTTCTATTAAGTTACCTTCCTCCTCTTCCAGAGGTTGCCATGTGCCATCAATAAACCACTGTCCACGCATCACAGGGATCTTTTCTGATTCTAAAAATCAAAAGAGATTTTTTTTTTTTTCAATGCAACAAAACCAAACTGACAGCAGATAAAAGGGAAAGGGAATTAGAGGAAAAGGGAATTCTGTTTAGTGCTTTGATCAGAAAGTTACACTCCTGCTGCTGGGACCTGTAATAAGGTAACCATAACCACAAATGCCTTGACAAGGCACCATCACCTCTTCCATTGGGCTGAAATGAGTAGTGAAAAAAGTGTTAACAAAGTAACACCTGAGCTAATGGGGACAAATCTTCAGAGTGCGTGTGAGGATGTGAGCGATGGACAGAAATATGCAGATTCTGTAAAATTTATTAAGGATTAAGTTCAAACAACAGTCCACAGCTTTAATAGGAAATAATCTCTTCCTTGCTGCCTTGAGTTTTCAGAAAATTAGGAACCTTGTGAGACTCATGCTGCTCTATAAAATTTGACTAATAACCTGACACCAACAATTGTTATCAAGAGAATGCAGAATGACCAGGAGATACAAAACCCCTCAAGCTCACCCTGACTGCACAGGGCCTTGTTTCTTTTGAGAACTGCACTTACAATAACCCAAATTATACATCGATTAGCACAAAGGTAGAATTTAAAGATGAGAGGGTTTTTTCTACTAAAATCAGTCTTTCACCAAGGGCTATTTTCATGTTTTCAGTCACTGTCATTTAGTTTCAGTTTCAGCACTCCAAATGAGGAACTGGGTGCCCAGTGCTTGCTGTCCATGTGACAAAAGACAAGCCTATGAAAAATGTATCCTGGTGCTTATTCTTCATCAAATTGTGCTTCATGCCCACACTAACTACTGGGGCTGCAGGGAGCAAGAATTCTCCTCTTATACCCATCCCTGCAAGCAAACTGAGACAATAATGTCCATTGCAGCTCAGCTCAGAATCTCTCCTACATCTGGAAAGGAAAGAAGGAGAAACACCATGTGTAGACCCAGAGCAGCTGGACCATGGAGCTCCAAGTGCCCACTAATATATGCTGCTGTACATTGCAGATGTATAGAGATTCGTCCAAATGCAAATGCTGCATGTGTGCAGATTCCTGCAGGAGATCAGCTCTCCGAAGCAACTACAAATTTAACCACAAAAGAAGAGGCTCAAAAAGGAGATGGAGGTTGGGGGGAGGTTGGGAAATAGACTTTACTACTCAAATATCTGTATTTTCCCTCCCTGGAAAAGAGAAAAAAGCTGGTAAGGAGAGCTTGGGAAAGAAACCATAGATGCAAAGAAATGGTAAACTAAAATCAGGTAAAAAAAGCAAACAAGAAACAGAGAAACAACAGAGAACATGGAGATATTTTAGAGTTACTGATCTATCCCCAGACCAGTACAAAGTTCAGCTGGGCAAGGTGACCCAGCCAAGGGCAGTGTTTTTTAGCCCAGGCACACCACTGTTAGCACAGCCACTAGCTCAGGTTGTGGAATCATCTGCTTCACAGAGCGCCGAGCACCACACCAGGGCTGGGCATGTCCCACTAAGCTTGACAGCAGATCAGAAATCTTTGCACTGCTCTCAACTACAGGCATGACACTACTGCTCATTGCTCCGTGGACACTAGTATACACCAGAAGTGTTTTTCATACTGTTTGAAGATAAGAATATAACAGAGAATTGCAAGCACCTCCATAATTTACCTGGAACCTCTGAACTACTCTGAATTCTTCATCCCTCAGGTCATTTCACCTACAAGCTATGAAAGTAAAAGGAAAATCTCCTTGCAATAATCTCCCTACAGGGCAAGTAACACTCAAAATGATCCAAAGCCTATTTTAAAACAGGTTTAAAAACAGGTTTACAGAAAAACACTGTGTACACAGTACTAGAAATGATTATAAGCTTTTAGCACCCCACATTTGTAACAGGAGGGCGCACTTGCAGGTGATGGCATCCTCAAGCTGTGCCTGAAACAGCCTGAAGCAATCAGCGAGGAAAGGTCAACAGCAGCGAAGCTCTCAGGAGGGATGCAGAGGCTGGAAGCAGATGATCTGGAGCAAAGAGCCCAGATTACCACTGAACTTCCCTCACTTGGTGCTGGCACACATGCTTGCCTGGTTACCCAAGTGTTCTCGTGACAGGGAATCCTGCAGGCAGCCTCCTAAAACAGTGCCTCTGCGCACACGGGGCACAAGGCAGAGTGAATTTCCCCAAACAGTGGCTACAAGCACCGCCAGCCTCTCTCATCCCAACTTCTCGCAGATTCTGGATTTCTTTGGCAGGCATTTGGCATGCTGGCTCTTACCTTCCAAGTCACCCAAAGCCCCATTCAAATTTTTGATCCCCCTAGATCCTCAGCTCTGCCTGTGTAGAACACAATTTGGGTCCTGTCGGTCCCTCCAAAATGCAGACGGAAGTGCACGACACAGTTCTGCCATTCGGTTTCTGTAAAATAGCCATTCCATATAAAAGCCAATTGTTAGGCATTGAATTTCTAATGTTTTGTCTGTTGATGATCCATCAGATGAATAAAGAGGTTGGAGTATTCAATGGGCACAGTTATTTAATGAAAATCCCAAACATATCAGAAGAACTGATATGGGTCTGAATAACTTTAAACTGCAGAAATTAATAGTCACTATAACATAGATTCAACTGTCTATGAAAATTTAAGCTAACTTTGAAGTCTACAACCCATCAATGAAGCGTGAAACACGTGTTTAGTTTTCATGAAAGTTAACCAGAGCAATGCTAGTTGTCACCATATACAGTACCCTCTCATCACGCACTTCTCTTAAGCTTTGTTGTACACCCTTACATTTCACACCTGTCAGATATCTGCATTTTTCAGCAGAGCTAATACAGATCCAGTTAGGCTGCCCTTACAAACAAAGCACTGTCTGCAGGAAAAAATGAAATGCACAAATATGTGAGCGTAGATAAAGGATCCCATTGTGGTTGAAGCAATGACACAACTACGTCAGATGTTAATCCTCACTGGGAAAATCTGTAGGCAATTCCTTAATTCTTGACTAGGCGTTCTGATGAGACTCCATTCATTGAATCCATAAAAGATATTTTTTTCAAATGATATGAATACTATTTTGTACTCCAAACTAAATGAACACAAGACACCTCTTTTTCAGTTTTGAAGGGCTTTAAGACTTTCACATCAGAATTTCCACCTACAGATTTCTAAAATTCTAAATATAAAGCATTAAAATAAGTATTTTCAGGCTCTTTTTGCCTGAGAGAAACTTTCCCGTAGTGGCTCTTTACAAGGGTAGACTGTAGCACTCAAACATTAAATGGCCACTGCCTTTTCCACAAAGGTTCAGCCAGGAAAAAATTGGCATGTTTGAAATAAAATTATTGTAAAGACTTTACAGGATAATTTAGTTTGCGAACAAACTCATATCTGTCTCTGGGTCTGGAAAGGGCATTTATATGGAAATATATCACTTCCAGATCAAGACAGATTATTATGGAACTTTGTTTCCAAACCAGGGATTTAAAACTTGAGTGAGGGAATTCTGTTTTCCAAAGCTCAGTGGGATTTTAGGGGTACCCAAAAGCCGTTTTTTTTTTTGTTCCCTCCTTTGAACTGCTGTACACTATGTGTGCAGTCACAGCACGCTGGTCTACAAGCCTGTCTTATTTCACATTGCCAGCTGGATGGCAGGTTTGATCACTGCGCTGCTGGGAAACCTCAATCGAAAACCACCTGATAAAGGAAACAACTAAATGACATTTTTCCTTCCATCAGAAGCACAGCTTGATTTTAAGAAACCTGAACAGTATCTTTCAGAACGGAAACAAATTTCTGATCAAAGCTCACAAAGAACCATTTTATCTTTCTCATGAGAGAAGAGGCTTGGTAAAGTTGGAAACAATACTTTCCAATTAACATCTGTATTTTCAAAAACGAGCAATGTTAGCTCTGAATGGACTCTTCATTAGGGACAACAGCAATAGACAAGGAGTAACAGGTTCAGACTTAAACAGGGGAAGTTTAGGTTAGACATAAAGAACTACAAGTGTGGTGAGGCACTGGCACAGGTTGCCCAGGGAAGCTGTGAATGCTACATCCCTGGCAGTGTTCAAGGCCAGGCTGGACGGAGTCTTGGGTGACATGGTTTAGTGTTTGGTGTCCCTGCCCATGGCAGGGGGTTTGAAACTTGATGATCTTAAGGTCCTTTCCAACCCTAACTATTCTATAATTCTATTTTATTAGAAACATGTAATGGTGGATTTCAGTCGAAGTTGAACTCCAATCACAACAATGATGACAACCTACTGATGTTAAAAATCACCAGTTCCAAAAGCAAGTGCCATTTCAGTTATGAAAAAAGAGAGGTATATTACACTGAATACCCTGGACTGGTGGGGAAATGAGGCAACTGCAAAGTAAGCAAAGGTTTTTCAGTATAATCTCTTGATTATGGGAAAGATTAATGCGTTACTCTTACTTACACCTTCCTAAACACAATTTCTCTGCTTAATCTTGGAAACGTGCTGGTATTCATCAAAAATGAGATTCATCAAGAGAAATTGATGCAAATTATTACAGTAGTCACCATTAAAAAGTGATGAGCCCAAATTGCCAGTTTAGGACCCAATTTCTCTCACTCCCATCCACCTTCAAAAAATTCATAGATCTCCTGGATATTCGGATGATTTTAGAAAGCTTAAACTATATTCTTCCAGTTATTTTTGTTTTACAGGAGAGTTAAACACACTGATATCTAGATCATGTTGTAATTTAACTTTTTTTTTCTTCCAAATCTATAAACACAAAGTATTATTTATCTTTGTCCCTATAATCTTGATCCCCAGGAAAGGATTTCCCTTTATTTTTTTCACTGCCTTGAGTCTTGCACCGTATAATCTGCAATTGGCAGTGCTTCAGACCAAAAGATACCAGCACATCTGGCCAGTTGTACACTTGCATGGTTTATTTATGCAATAGGAATTCCTAAATAAAATTGAATGGCAGGAATTAGAAGCTAATGAAAGGCACTTTATTTTAATTAGTCATACATATTTTACCA